CTTGACGTACGTCATTACACAGCAGAGTCCGTTGATTCATGAGTTTGCCCGGATGCACCTTCAGGCGATCGATGCACTTCCCATAGCTGTCTCGGGGAGTACCAGTGCCAGCGTCAGTGCTATGCAGCTTCAGCCGACGCTGAGAGAGAGAATCCGGCGAGAGCAGGCTTCTGACGAGTTTGTTCGTGTTATGGAGGCCAAGGTTCGCGCCGGAGGCGTCCACGATTTTCAGTTAGGTACCGATGGTGCCTTGGAGTTCAGAGGCAGGATCGTGGTCCCGAAGGTCGAGGCTTTGCGGAAGGAGATTTTATCAGAGGCACATACCGCACCTTACTTGGCCCATCCCGGGAGCACGAAGATGTATCACGACCTGAAAGGGTCGTTCTGGTGGCGAGGCATGAAGAAGGACGTCGCCGAGTTTGTCAGGAGGTGTCTTACCTGTCAACAAGTCAAAGCCGAACATCAGAGTCCGATCGGCCTCCTACAGCCACTGCCGATTCCGAGGTGGAAGTGGGAGGATGTCACTATGGATTTCGTTACGGGATTACTGAGGTCTTCTGAACATCACGACGCTATCTGGGTCGTGGTCGACAGACTGACTAAGGTCGCGCATTTCTTACCCGTTTCGATGAAGATGTCTTTGGACAAGTTGGCTGTGATATATACCCGTGGGATCATCCGACTCCACGGAGTGCCCGTCACGATCGTATCAGATAGAGATCCCAGATTCGTTAGTCGATTCTGGCACAGCTTACATGAGGCGATGGGCACGAAGCTTGAGTTCAGTTCAGCCTACCATCCAGAGACGGACGGTCAGTCAGAGCGGACTAATCAGACGCTTGAGGATATGCTTCGCGCTTTGGTTGTTGACAGGGGTGCTAAGTGGGAGTCACTGTTGCCGTACGCCGAGTTCGCGTATAACAACAGTTATCATTCTTCTATTCAGATGGCTCATTACGAGGCACTTTATGGTCACAAGTGTCGTTCCCCTCTCTATTAGGACGACGTCGGAGAGCGGCGAGTACTCGGTCCTAAGATGATCGAGGAGACAGCGGAACAGGTCGAGTTGATACGGCAAAGACTCAGGACAGCTCAGAGTCGACAGAAATCTTCCGCCGATCATCATCGACGAGATATTCAGTTCGAGGTTGGCGAGCCAGCCTTTCTCAGGGTTCATCCGATTCGCGGAGTTGTGCGATTCAGAAAGAGAGGGAAGCTGCACCCTCGTTTCATCGGTCCGTTCGAGGTTCTCGAGTGGGTAGGCGAGGTCGCGTATCGTCTAGCTCTACCTCCCGAGTTATCAGGCATTCATAATGTATTTCACGCATCGATGTTGCGTAAGTATGTGTGCGACCCCGATCATGTCATCCC